CTCATAAAAATATTGTTTGCACGTGGAAACGCGTTCGCAACTCACAGTGATTTTGCCATCAAATACGCAGTTGGTTTCTTGGTTTCCATGCCGGCATTTCAGAAAATTAGGCGTTGGAACTTGGGACGGAATTTGTTTGAAAACAGAGTGCTGCCGCACCAGGGTGTCGGTGTCAGGATAACATTGGGTACCGGCGCTTAAGTGACACATCGGCGCATGGTGGACGCATTTTTTGGCTGGAACAAATTTTGCACGCAAACGTGGATGAATGCTTGCTTGTAACGGTTTGATCCTGGCTGGTTCACAGTCATTAATGCCAAACATAGTTTTGATTGGAAACTGTTGTGTTCATCCACGTTTCGTGTAAATCAATCACTTGATTCACCCTGGTGTTGCGGGCGTGTAATTGAAATCGTTATGTAAACATGTGCTCATGTGTATTTGGGTCCGAATTTGCCATGATTCATGACTAACTAAATCGGTTTTTGTCAAATCACATATTTGATTCATGGTTCATGATTCTCCTTTTATGTGAAATATTTATAGATATTTGATGAAATATTTGATCATAAAATCCCTGCGGTTCAAGCCCGCAGCCCGGCGCACAAAGGCTGCGCAGTCGGAGCTGAGGCGTGGATCGATCTGACACGGCAAAACAAAGAACAAAATTCTCCAATCATTGAGTTTTTCGATGTTTTTCGTCAATTTCAAGAAGATCATGTACCAGCAACATCCAGCAACCGTTCGAAATCCATTCTTTTTAAATTTCAAGTGCCAACCTGGAACAGGCCGAAAGTTGGCTCAGATGATGAGAGCACGAACCCCAGTTCGTCATTGTCAATACGGAAACCTGAAAATGACAGCAACAGATGTAAATGATGTAAAAATAATGAAATTTGATATAAATTGATGTCGACGATGATCATGTTCAAATTCTGGGGTAAAGTGTGATGACATGTGTTGTCTTTGATACCATTTCAGTGTGCTCCAGCCGCTTCAGTTTGTCGTGCTGCTAGCGACATTCAGTGCAGTTGCTTCAGAGTCTGGAGCCCAACACAGATATGATTTTTTTTGTTTCGAAATTTGTGCCCTTCTTGCCATTGGACCACCCCTCAATTCCATATATATACCATCATCCACTGTGCATGTGTTTGGAACATCATGATTTTGTGGCCCCTGCCGTGGCAAACTTTATATACCAAAAAAACTTCAGAATCAGCTTGAGACTCAACCCAAGCTGAGGTGTAATGGGCCCGAAAGACTGAGACTGAACCAGGTGGAAAATAGCAACCTGGGCGGCGCAGGAGCATGAAACAGATATAAACAGATTCAAACAGATTCAAACAGATTCAAACTTCAAACACAAAAAAATCGGTTTTGTTGCATTTTCTGCTTGGAATGATTGTTACTGCCTCTTCCCAGGACCAGATTTGGGCGATGCAAAAAATCTAGTGTTTGATGAGGCTGGCGCCATGCCAACCCCAAATTTCGAGTGCAAACTGGTAGAGTTTATACCTCTCAAAATCAATGCGCTGCACTTCTGGACGGGAATGTCACGTTTGGCTACGGGAACTCAACTGAATCCCACATCTTCCCGAATTTCTGCGATTGAAGTTTCTTGGAAGAAAAACACATGTTTAAAGAACATAAATTTCTTAAAGGAAGGCTGCTTCGCTCAAAATGTTGCGTTTGCCAAAAACAATGCATTTGCTCGCATACATACTCCTCTTAAAAAGTGATAGCGTTTTTCTTCAGAGAAATGCAATATTTCCAAAAAACATACATGGCATGTACTCTGCTTTCACGTTATGTATGCTGCACTCTTGAAGGATTAGGGCCAGTTCGAAAGAGTGCGGCATCTGCTAAAAGGGGTAACAATTTTTGAATCTTTTCGAGTCAGATGCTACATTTATTTTGGAGGTGCCAGTATTGTTTCTCTCTCAGCCATTCTCATACAGAACTGTACACTTTTTCTCCCTGGATGCATTTGCTGACAGAAATACAACGATTCGGAAAATGAGTGCAGTACGACTGCACTTTGGAGTTTCGAGGGGTCTTCTTGCGTATATAGCATGTGTGTATATATATATACATATATATATATATGTATATATATAATATATATATAATACATATTGCAATATCAATTTGCAGGCATGCGTACATGTACAAACTGCATACGTCATGAAAATAAATAAAAATAACTATGCATGTATCTAGATATATTTCATGTCATTCAGAATCTATCATTCAGTATCTTGGATAGGTGCCTCGTTTGCGACACTTGCATGCCATTCCCTTTTTCTGACGCCTTTGCTGCCTGGGGAGGTAGGGAGCTTCAATGGCAGACACCTACAGCTTGAGATAGGCGGCACGCTTTTCAGAAGCTGAGGGCTATCCACGAGCATTTTCAAAGCAGCAAAGAGTACATGGCTAGGATTTTGTATTTTTGATTTTGATAGAGACATTGACTCGACGCCAGTTGCAAGCGAAGACTCGCAATATGAAGCTCGCAGTCCTGACAATGGCGTCTTTGGGCCCAGACTCACTGAGTCTGACTGGGTCACACTGAGTCACTGCCGTTTGCAGCCTCTTTGCATATGGAATTTCTTATTGACGGAAAGATCTTGTGAAGTCTCCCAACGTGGCTCCCAACCTTTCCCTTTTCAACGTGGCAATTGGCTTTTGGAACAAAGCTACATTCTGAGGCATCGACTGATGAGCATCTCGCACATATCAGCATGATGTGGGGCCCTTGGCGAGATGCTAGGCAATCTTCACAGACATGAATGAGTTCTGATCATGTGTTCACGCATGTCAGAATGATCAGAATGACCGTGGGCCAATGTTCGATTCTAAATTCTGAACACTTCAAACATCGAATTCTGGCTCCGGTTCAAAATATTATTAAGTTGCACATTGTAAAGAAGCAAGACTAAGCAAGACTAAGCAAGACCCCTTTACTGATTTCATGAGTCGCTTTAGGTCTGGAACCTCCACTACCTTTCTCATTCGCTTGCTAGACAGCGAGACTAAAGAGCAGGCACGGAGTCCACCTTTAAGATCTTCGAAGATCTTTAAGCATTGGCAGATTTTGGCAGCACAATGGATTTCAATTTCAAGACTTTGTGCGACTTCATGCTTCCACTTCCTTACAGTGTATTCTCGCCCATGAAGATTCCTTACAGTGTATATATGTATATATATGTATATGTATATGTATATACCAATGTGCGAGAGTGGAAGCAGAAAGAATGCCATGGTGATGGTAATAATTTGCAATTATCTTATCACATCTTCTCACTCATCGTGTCAATCAGTTTCTCAGTTTTGGATGACAGTGATACAGAACTGGCACTGTTCGAGGAACTCTTTCAGGTAAGCAACTCAATGCAACTCAACAGCATAGTCGTAGAGAAGCCAAGGCAACGGAGAAAATGAGAAAACTATGTGTGCGCCATCACATGGGTATACAAATCTAGGATGGGTGAATGTACAAAGAAACAGAGGCCGTACGGAGATTTTTTTTGCACAAAATGCATTGTCAAAGTGACAGGTGTCTCTCCCGAAGATCAATCTGACCTTCTACGCCCTGAATGTGCCCACTGATCAGACCATTGAAGCTTCAGGCGGGGCTTCGCCAACATGCACACAGTAGGTTCTGAATGGTTCTGAGGGGTTCTGGTAAGTCAGTCTCTGATCAAAGAAATTCTTCCGGTGCAAATAGCTGCCATTGTTTTTCTTTTGCCCTCCTGTGCAAACTGAATCTTTTCTGGGACCAAAAGTCTCGTATGCCTTTGGCATCCTTTGGCGAAGCTGGAAGGCTACGTGACGACTTTTCAGTCATCACCCGGGCTTTTCTCCGAGGAGGGAGATTTCGACAGAATGATGCAGCAGGCAAATCTGAGGTGGTTGGGACATTTCCACAAGACTTGAGTGGAGAGACAAACTTCGCTTCACCTTGGATCCCACCGAATCCGGTGCAGGACCTTAACGGCAAGTCTACAGCCTACCATTCGGCACAGCCGTGTGCGGTGCTAATGCTTTGGACAGCGTTTTACAGGAACATGCAGGAAACATGTATGAACCTAGCAAGTACAAAGATGTACAAAGATGTACAAAGCCAACTTAGTTTCTTTACTCAGTTTCAGGGTTGGATGAGTGGGGTCAGCCTCTTTTCTGGGCTTTGAAACTGTCGCCATTTGATACTTGTGGTGCTGAAGATTTGGTTCAAGCCACGTCATTCACCGCTTTGCGGTATCACAATGGCAGAGCCTGAAGAGGAAGAAAAAGAAAAAGAAAGGAAGCCCGAGACTCAAAGCCCAAGTGACTTATTGAGTGACTTTACTTCTTTAAGTAGTTCAAAATGCTCGCTTTTCTCCAGTTCCTTGAATGGAGACAAAGGATGTTTCTGCATGTTTCCATACCATTCCATACCATTCCAGACCATTCCACAGGCCTGGACCTGCCCATGCCTCAGTTGACATCCAGCGAAACACTTTCAGAGAGAGGGCGCTTCCACAGAGTTTCCCATGGTTTGAATTTTAGATGTTGTGTATCTTCCTCTCTCTTCCGTCTTCTGTTCTACGCAGCAACATTGATCATTCATTTTCTGCACCATCTCTTTGGTTTCTATTTCCTGTGCATTCGATACACTATTTCTTCCGTTCAGAACAAGCTCGTATAGGTAGCTGTAGGAGAGGAATTCAACCAATTTTTGTGTCCAAACACAGCTGGATTTCAGCCTGATTATATGGTAGCGGAGAAGCCAGCTGACCATAGACTGCTAGTCCCATGGACAGTCTCACCATGTCTCACCTTTTCAGGGACAGTCTCACCTTTTTGTATATTGTTGTCTCATGTTGTCTCGTTGCACCAGATCTGTGTAGCAACACATTGGGTACAACAGTTCTGACATGTTCTGACATGTTCTGACAATCAACATTTCAGGTTGAAAAGTTTGTAGACTTCGTTGAGAGCTGGTTTGACCAGCGGAAGGCATGAGCTTGAGTTTGCACCAGCTTGATTTGGAAGCCCTTACGGGTTTTGGTGTCCTTGTTTACCTCGTTTACCTTCTAAAACTACAGAAGAGCATCAATCTGGATGCAGCTGGGGCTGAGCTCACATCGAACGGCTTCATGTCTTTTTTTTATTGCCTTGCCATGCTTTGCCACAGTGCAACCACATCACTTCAGTGCCAGAGTGTCACCAGAGCAGTAGAGTTTCTGGCAGGGACGCAAGAAGCCAAAGCCAAAGGCCAAAGCAGAGCCCAAGAAGCCCCTGCATCTCGGCAAGAAATCCCTGGAACTCCAGATGGGCAGTGTCAGACACAACCAACATCCACCAACTACTGGGTGTAGGTAGTAACATGTGAGAATTAGGAGCTCTGAACCGCACCACTTTTTGATAATCCAGATATTGCAGGACTTTCCTCCCAGTTACCAAATCTCTTTTTCTCCCGAGTCGTGACAAGGAAAGAGAACGGCGAAGAAGGCGGAGATGTGGAACCGAAGGAGCTAAAGCCGACTGTCGAGGGGTAGCCTCGCCTTCTGATGCCCCCATGATGGCCCAATGCTCCGTTGGGTCCACACGAGAAACCTGTGATACTTTGTGCTCAGTCTGCGGATATCCCTTCCCTATCCTTCCCTATCCTTCCCCATCCTTCCCTCTTGTCTTTAGAGCTACCCCTTAACGCGACAGCGAAGTCCAAGGATAGAGTCGGCAAGTTTTCCTCAAGTGTAGCTGTGTTTCCCTTTGCTTGATTTGGTTTGATCACGTTTGATCCCTGGAGGATACTGGTGAAGGATCGAAAAAAGCAGGCGGGGGTTCACGAATTGCAATGCCTGCGCATCCATGAAGCATCACCTCCACTTGAACTGCCAACCTATGACATCCTATGACTATGGCATGTGATTGTAATTGTGATTGCAGCGTTTGTGCGCATATTAAACCGAACCATGAAAATCATGAGAAATCAGGAGAACTCGAGTGGTAATTGTAACTCATTCCAATGGTACTACCAGTGGTACTACCAGTGGTACCAGTACCTCCAAAAGTTTTCGAGGCATACTAGATGTTGACGGTGATGGCGATGTTGACCTCGAGGCCATTTCGCTGCGCCTGCCATTTTGCTCGTTTGCACAATCTTATTCATACTGGTTTTAAAAAAGGTTTCGTATGGATTCAACATATTTTAAGTATATTGAAGGCAATTCATGCCATGTCTATTTGATTAAAACTTGTTGTTTCAATCAGATTCACCACGATTCACACACATATACATTTACATATACATTTACATATACATATATATATATATATATAATACATAATATATATATAATATACATAATATATATATATAAT